AACTCAAAGTATAGGTTTGGCACAAAATTAGTAGAGGTTTACTTTAGATGTCTAATGAATTACGTTTACTTACTGAAAAGCCACCAGACAAGTGTGACTGAATGCCCCAGCCCAGTCAAGGTAGCACGGCTAGCTGCTTTGGCTTTTGTTCAAATTATATTAGCTGGAGGGGGTAAGTACATGTCAGCTGAGACATCGTACGTTGTTAATAACTCAGTTTTATGTTGAGTTAAGTAGCTTATGTGATTCATTACTGATACTTAGATACTCTCAGTGTGTTCTGTGAGAAGTTCAGTCATAATTTTGGTAGAAAAACAAGCTTTATTAGTAATATTTGCTCCAGTTAGCATGTTGCTAATGGAAGCTAACCGCTTGCTAAATGAGGTACTTAGATTTATTTACCGTCCTTTTCCCATCCTGAACAGACTCCTGTGTGAAGCTGTCAAGCACACATTGATGGGAGATTGTATCTTCTGTTGTACCAGGTAAGCTCATAAATAAATGGTCAAAAGTGTGTTTTATTAGCTTAGCTAATCGTATTCTAATCTATCTGGTTTGTAAAAAAGTCAACTGAGAAACATGTTGTTCATAACTTGTAACTTTAGCTTCCTAACTTGTAATTCTAAATTTTTACTTGTATTTCTTGTTTTGTAACAGGAAATTTTCATTTTGTACATATATTTTTTATTTTGTAAAATCAAACTTTTATTTTGTAAATTTACTACTCATTTTGTAACATCAAACATTTATTCAGAATTGTGAAACTTTCGGTTTTTACCTAGCAGACTTCCAAAATAAAAAAGTCAATGTACATGTTTGAAATCAAAACTCTCTAAACACATTTCATTCTACAGGTACAAACCTTACCTAGACTGATCTTAGTGTTTATCTGTGCTTTTAGCACCCCCTAATGTCTGTTTGTAGGACTGAAAGTAAAATTATTTCTTGAATGTGCATTCGTCTTTTTAACACCTTAATTTAGCAGATGAAATGTCTCCCCAGCCTTCTTTAGTGTCTTGTCTCCCCAGCCTTCTTTAGTGTCTACAGGAGTGGCTCTTCAATAGATTAAACAAATCAGCTGTGTTAATAATCTAAAACATGCAGGAAATGTGCCAAAAGCTGACTACAGTGCCAGGTATGTCAGGTCAAGTCACAACAGATCGGCCCCCAGTCTGAAGTTGCAAGTAGAATATTCTGGCTAGATTTGGCAACTGGAATGTCTTATTATCAAGTTCTTCCAAAGATCTCTGAACATCCTCCGGTCATCCAAAGTGATGCGTAAAGCTGGAGGGTTGGCGGTGTGATTTTGTTGGCCGGAAGTGGAAATGGAAGGCAGATGTAATACCGGGAGCTGAAAAAAGCAAGACAGCATGGCTTCATCATCCTCATTTATAAAGCACCTTATTACACTTGTCATGTCCAAAGTCCTTTACATGATACAATGAAAAACAAATCTACTTTATGGGGAGCCTAAGTCACGCTATAAGATAACTGAGATGATGAATGAGATGACGGAAGTTTTAGTTATCGATCCTGAGGTCCAGAGAGAGAAACTTTTACCAAAATTACAATCACTGTCTTTAATCCTTCTCAACAACTGAAGATCCTGGGCGGGATTTTTGGCTCTGAGATGTCATTGAAGCATCACTAAAATAGGGTTTTATCATCTAAAGAACATCGCCAGAGCCCGCCACATCCTCTCTTGGGCCAACACGGAGACACTGATGCATGCTTTTATCACCAGTAGAATAGACTAATGCCCTGGGGTCTCAGTTATAAAATATTGCGTAGACTTCTTACTAAAACCGTACTTAAGCTCAGCAAAAAAAAAAAAAAAAAAAAGTACTTACACCAGTTGGGTTTGTGACCTATAAAACACGGAGTACACACAGCTGCATGCAATCTCCACTTTATAAATCAGAGACTAACAGCTGCTTTTTGGTCACATCTCGCCCTCACCACGCCCACTTTCTACCAAAAATGGTCAATGCAAAGTGCCTTGAGGAGCTCATTCCGGCTCATTGAAGCGCTCTGCCATTAAGATCGCGACCGCAGATCAAGGAAGCGGTATTTCACAAGCAGAAATTGAGGTACTTGTGGGTGAGGTGGAGAAATAAAAGGAAGTGCTTTTGTAAAACAAATAATAGAAAATCCACAGAGTAGCACAGCGTTGCTGAAGCCGTCAATGTTGTGAGTTCCTCAGAGATTTGAAGCGGATATTTAAAAAAAAAAGGTCCAATCAGGATTTAATCTAGGGCTGCAGCTATCGAATATTTTTGTAATCGAGTACTCTATCGAATCTTTTATCGATTGATCGAGTACTCTAATAAATTACTCTTTTGCGTTTTTAAACCATTATATCAAATAGCATGTTATAAAATATGAAAGACCTCTTAAAATGAGCACGCAATTGCCAGTTATTCTTCAAGTTTTATTCAAAATTAGTTTTCAAAACTTCAGCACTTCAACTTTACTTCACAGTAAACAAATGCCTGTGCAAAAAATAAGTAAACAACCTGGGCTGACTTTCCCCTCATGCGAGAATCTACTAGCCCAGCAAGCCAGACAAAAACTAGGAGGATAACGCCGGGGACACACCGGCCACGGAAGCGCCGAGAAGCGAATCGCTCACGACATTCGGCCGCTGCTCGCCGCTCCTCAGTTCAGATCAGACGCGCCCCAGTCGAGGCGCGCCTCGGCTCAGCTGTAGTTTTTCTTTTAAACACTTGGTGTTCTCCATTTCCTCTCTGCCTTTTCTCTTTTCCTCTACGTGTGTGTGTGTGTGTGTGTGTGTGTGTGTGTGTGTGTGTGTGTGTGTGCATGTGTGAACCTATGGTATGAGTTGTTTCTGCCAGTTGAATCTCTTGGAACCCGCTCCATTTCCAACACATTCTCACACCCTAAGCGTCGGAAACAAACGCTTGGTCAGCCACCCTCCACGTCAGACCCCAGACGCCAAAAGTGCCCATTTTCGTTACTTATGTGCGAAAAGGGGTTTTCCCCTTTTGTAACTGCAGATCCCAATGCAGCGTAAAACTGACGTGATTAGATATCCGCTGATCCGGCACCGAACCAGCTCATTTAATAGCGCCTAAACCTTAACGTTTCACTATTTATAACCTTCCCCTCTCCCTCATCCTAACCTTAACCCTCTTGCTACCTAAAACGTTACTCTCACTGCGATCAAGCGTTTGTTTCCCCTGCATTCTGACTTTGACAGTCAGAGTCTGACTGTGAATTTTCGTATTTGCCGCCCAAGGGGAACGTTAGAACATACCATCTGGCGAGGGGGAGGTTACACATACCCTCTACTTTTAACCTCCACCTTGGTAGTTGAAACCTCCCCCTCGCGTTGGCTCGGTCCAAACTCGACCAATCACGAGGCGGCTCCCGCCGTTCACTTCATAGAGCCGGCTTTTAGAGCGATCGACACATCACTAACGTGTTCGCTGGCAAGATGGTTAAGGTTAGGATAGTGGTGAGGGGAAGGTTAAATAAGAGGATAAGGTTAAATAAGAGGATAAGGTTAAGGTGAGGTACAATGAGCTTGTTTGGTGCCAGTGTAACGCTGCATTGGGATGCAACGGTAGCGGACATCCCATCGCGTCAGTGTAACGCTGCATTGGGATCTGCAGTCAAATAAGGGAAAAACCCCTTTTCGCACATAAGTAACGAAAAAGGGCACTTTTGGCGTCAGGGGTCTGACGTGGAGGGTGGCTGACCAAGCGTTTGTTTTTGACGCGCTGGGAGTGAGAACGTGTTGCCAATTCTGCAGCTGTATCCTAGCAGTTTCTTCTGAAATGGGTACGTAAATAACCGTGTTTTTCGGGGGTCGTACAGCTCCTTGTGTTTCTCAACTTCCATAATTCATTTAAAGTCATCCATCTTAACTGCTTGCCTCAGACTTTCTGCCTCTCTGTCCTGTTTGCTCCGGTGAAAAGACACCCAAAACCACACACCCCTTCACGTGGTCACACACGCACACAAGTTCGATGTGTGTGTATGTGTGTGCGTGTTCGTGTGGTTTTTCTGCAGTGTCTGATTACGAACACATTTGACTATTGCGGAATTTTATTTTGAAATGCTTTATTTTGTTAACTTTACCGGCCTGCCTCTTATGTCTAGGTTTGACTTCCTGCCAGAATTGACGCGATTCACCCGCGGCTCGCGAAAAAAATAGAGCCGGCGCGAGGCGATTCGCGGCGCTTCGGCTGCCCATGTGGTCTTAGCAAGCCCCCACAATGCGGCTCAAAAAATGGTCCCAACCGGGAAGTAAGAGAAATTGCAGTTCCACCCTCATCCGCTGGGGGCTGGTGTCAGAAGCGAGCAAATCCTCATTGACTCCCATGTTAAAAATGCCATTTTCACAGCAGAAATAAACATGTTTACAGCCTGGTTCCAAAACATGTTTTTTGACTCCATGCTTTCGTTCTTTTTTAAACACAGAAACAGTTTTGTTTACCTGTTTGTAGCTACAGTTTCGCCGACAGCTGCCGGCTTCTTCAGCGTCAGCCTGAAGAAGCCGGCAGCTGTCGGCGAAACCGTAGCTACAAACAGGTAAACAAAACTGTTTCTGTGTTTAAAAAAGAACGAAAGCATGGATTTACAAAGACACAGCAAGAACACACCTAAGATGTTTTTTGACTAAATTATCTAGTTTATACTCATGACAACTCTGAGGGGGTTGAATTTTTTTCTCACTTTTCTGTTTAAGTGTATTGAAAGCCTAAAATTCTGTATAATTAATGAGCAGCCGACACACGTGACCGCCGCCTCAGACCCACGTGACCACAGAGCTAGCTCCGTGGAAAGGCCTCAGTACAGCCTCGGTCTCTCCTGGAAACTGTGTGGGGATTTTGAGTCTCTGTGCTTGTGAATTCTGTTTTGGATAATATTGGTGCAATTGTTGGACAAAATGACTTGCTGTGGTATTAATTGCACTAATAGAGCGTCCAAGGAGTCTCCACTTCATTTTTTTCGGTAAGTTAAAATCTATATTTTTATTTTATGTCACTGCCGCCTTTAAACTAGCTGAGTTTACCAAAGTAGCTAGCTAACTATCAGTTTAACATGTAGCATGTACTGTTTAACCATGAAATTTAAATGTAAAATACGGTAAAATAATTAATATGGCATATTTCGATGGGTAAAAGGGTAAAACCCAGTGCATTTAAGATAAAAATGGGTTGAAATATGACGGAGTGCGCCGCTTGGAGGGACACTCCTGTGCTCCATTCTTTCATCCGGTAATCCCCAGCGGTCAGGCCGGGCAGCCTGACCGATGCGGCGCCTCGCTGCTGCGGGCTGACCGGAGAAATACTGCAGCTCGTTGAGAAGTCTATAGGGCATACAGCGTTTCCCTTAAATCCCACCGCCACGCCGACAAGATCCCGAGATTCTTTGTTTTTGTTGGCGCTGTTTACCGAAGAAGCAGCGGGAACACCAGCAAGTTTCATCAGACTCGTAAAGTTTGTTTTTGCTGGGGGCCCCCTGTATTTTACCGCTCCCTCCTGCAGTCTTCCCCTATTAAAATTTTAAATGTGTAACTTTATGTATTGGGATGAATGACTAATATTCATGTTAACTCAAACGTTAGGTATTTAAGGGGAAAAAACAAAATAATAAACATTATACAGATGTCAAATAAATCAAACTGTAATTAAACTATATATTTTCAAAGTCTCGATTCTGGATAAAATCCAACAACATATGCTTTATAAATAAACACTACACATGGCTTTTACACACACACACACACACACACACACACGTTACATTGTGATTTCTTAGTAAATATTCTATTTGGCGAGAGATAAACTTTATTGTATTTATCCTTGTGAATCTATAATTAAACGGGTAAACTAGCAGTAGCACATCCAACATCAAAGAAAGTAAAATGTTATTATCAGGAGAGGGAGACTGTTTAAGTGGTTAGCAGCAGTGTGCTAGCCGATGGCCCCCCTCCATGAGGCCACCACAGCTCAGCAGAACATCATTGTAGCTTCTTCTGGGGAGAAAAACACTTAGAGAGAAAATAAAGTTAACAGCTGAAATAGCAGGAAATAATACAGTTAAAGAGCAGATTGTAGAAGAAAGAAACCCCTGGGTTAAACTGGTCTGTCTACTGCATAATGCTGAACTCTAACATGTGTCCTCAGGGAAGGACCTGATTGGTGTCCAGAACCTGCTGAAGAAGCACCAGGCTCTGCAGGCTGAGATCACAGGTCATGAACCTCGCATCAAGGCTGTCACCCAGAAAGGAGAGACCATGGTGGAGGAGGGTAGAGCAGGTCTGGTCCTGACATGTTTCTGAGGTGTCTGCAGGTTCTGGCTCACTTTGTTTGGGTCCAGGTCATTTCGCTGGTGAGGAAGTGAAGACTATACTGTCAGAGCTTCATGGACGTTGGGACACGCTGAAGGCCAAGGCGTCCCAGAGGACGCAGGACCTGGAGGACTCTCTGCAGGCCCAGCAGTACTTTGCGGATGCTAATGAGGCCGAGTCCTGGATGAGGGAGAAGGAGCCCATCGTTGGAAGCCCAGACTACGGGAAAGACGAGGACTCGGCCGAGGTATGGAAGTCCCTTCCTGAGAAACTCCAATCGCTTTTCTTTGCTCTCTTTCCAGTCCTTCATAATTAGTGTTTCTGTATTTGTCATTTCCTTCGGTTGTCTACCAGACGTCGTTGCTCGTTTGAGCGTCTCATGGGTTAGGGGTAGAAGTGCTGGCCTCGCACAGGAAGTGATGACAAACGTGTTCCCGTCGCTCTTATTTCAAACGGTTTACGAGCTGTGATGTGCGTTCCCGCTGCAGAGCAGCCATGACACGTGGCAGCCGGCAGAAGGCTCACGCTTTTCCACTAAACACCCGCAGAGCTGCGTCTGCGATGAACTGAGCAGGGTTTGTTTTACGGTGGCGGATCCGATTGGACCATCGCTGCGAGAAAGCTCCACTTGTGTCAGACGAGCTGAAGGTTCTGATGTTCTGCTCCACAGGCTCTCCTGAAGAAGCACGAGGCCCTGATGTCGGACCTGTCGGCTTACGGCAGCAGCATCCAGGCCCTGAAGGAGCAGGCCCAGTCCTGCAGGGTGAGTTCAGAACCCTCGGCCCGTCAGAACATTCTTATCCACCACGTTCTAACACCAGACCTGTTAACCCGACAGCAACAAGTGGCTCCAACTGACGATGAGACCGGGAAGGAGCTGGTTCTGGCTCTGTACGACTACCAGGAGAAGAGTCCTCGAGAGGTCACCATGAAGAAGGGCGACATCCTCACGCTGCTCAACAGCACCAACAAGGTTCGTGTGCCCTTCACAGCCGAGGAAGGACCTCCAGCTCAGAGCGAACATCTCCACACCTGCTTTGTGTTTGTGTGACTTTAGGTTGTTTTACTTGAACTCGCGTCTTTAGCTGAATGAGGATGGAGAGACGGGCGTGGAAAACAGGAAATGTGTGTGAAACGGCTTTTGTCCACACGAGTCGGGGGAGGAGCAAACGCCTGTCGAGTGTTGTGGGCGGAGCCTGTGGTTGTGTGTGCTTGGATGCTTCAGCCAGTTAATGGCGGTGTGTGTACCCCACACACTTATGCGCCGCTTACGGGTCAGTAGAGTTTGGACCCACACTCAGACGGAGTTCTGATGTCTTCTCAGAGACGCTGATGAGACCAAAGAGGGGATCGAGGAGAAGAACCAGGCCCTGAACACAGACAACTACGGCCACGACCTGGCCAGCGTTCAGGCTCTGCAGCGTAAACATGAAGGCTTTGAGCGTGACCTGGCAGCTCTGGGTGATAAGGTCCGCTTCCTGATGGGTACCAGGACCCGGGTTGTCTCTGGAGACACGTTCTTCATGGTTCTGGTGACTCTCTGGGAGAGACAGCAGAACGCCTGATCCAGTCCCACCCTGAGGCTGTGGATGACATCCAGGAGAAATCTACGGAGCTGAACACGGCCTGGAGCAGCCTGGTGGGTCGGGCCGACCAGCGCAAGGAGAAGCTGGGGAACTCTCACGACCTGCAGCGCTTCCTGTCAGACTTCAGGTGAGGTGGAGGCGGAGCCTGGACTGGGTTCAGTCCAGGAGTGGTTCCTGACTAGCTGTGGTTCTTCACAGGGACCTGATGTCATGGATTAACGGAATCCGGGGCTTGGTGTCCTCCGATGAGCTGGCCAAAGACGTGACGGGAGCCGAGGCTCTTTTAGAACGCCATCAGGTTTCTGCCCGGTTCTGTAGAACGCTTCCGATGCAACCGGATCACTTCCTCTGACTCTCTCTTCCTCCTGCAGGAACACCGGACGGAGATCGACGCTCGGGCTGGGACCTTCCAGGCCTTCGAGCAGTTTGGCCAGCAGCTGCTTGCTCGAGGGCACTACGCCAGTCCTGAGATCCAGCAGAAGCTGGAGGCTCTGGACCGCGAGCGGGCGGACCTGGAGAAGGCTTGGGTCCAGCGGCGCATGATGTTGGGATTACGCACGCACACACACAAATACACACACACACGTACACATACACACACACATGCATGCATGCAAGCAAGCACATTCACTCACACACACACACACACACAGTGATCTGGTGTACCAGTGTGTTCATGAAACCAAAGAAGTCCAATTGCCTTCTTTAAAAATCCATTTGATGTCATACTGAACAACTGTTGTATTTGATTCTAATTTTAATGATTCTGTTTCAGGTGGAAATGCTGTGTGATTCCTGTGCCATGTGGCCCATGACCTGTGTCAGCCTTGCTGAGTTCTCTGCAGCAAGGTTTTCTGGGGCTTGTGGCGGTTCCAGAGTGCACCTGATCCAGTCTAACCCCGGGTTTCCACGGGAGCCGTCAGCAGCACGTTACTGCAGCAGCACGTCTTGCTCGCGTAAGCTGCTGCTTGGCCCTTCCCACGAGACGCGAAGCAGCAGGGGAGCAGCTGTCACCGACCGAGCACGAAGTCACACGAGTGACTTCGTCAGTAAACACAACAACAAGCAGGAGAAAATTACAACATGGTTTGTGTTTTATGTTCTGTCCGTTTTATAATCGCCAATACGGACCTGAAAAACAAAGGAGACCGCTAGCTAGGTGATAACTTCTCACGGGGACGCAGTTAGTAACTTTTTTAAAGTAAAGCAACCGGAAGGCAGTACGTTCTTTATTCTGAAAATCTCGGGAGCTTCTCTCCGTTTCCCCGTCCAATTTCCTGTCTTTCCTTCCCCAAAAATGTCAAACTTGACCCGTTTCAGAGGCGTTGCGCGTAGAAAATAGAACCGGCGCGTAAAGGCCGCGACATGCTGCTCCTGAGACGCGGCCGACTCGCGCTGCTGACGGCTCCAGTGGAAAAGGTTCTGTTGACCACAGCGGTTCCTATCAGCAGCTATGACGTGCTGCTGCAGAAACGTGCTGCTGACGGCTCCTGTGGAAAGCCGGGGTAACACTTCACATCCCAGCACACGCATGAACACATGCTTGTCGATGTTTGTTGTTCATGATGTTTGTGGTTCATGGTTTACATGTTTATAGTTGTTCATCCCACGTTTTCTTGATGACTCTTAGAAATGTTTCTTCACAGGTGCAGCTGCTGGTTGCTGTTTTTATGTTGGTTTGCTAGTTGTATTAATTTTTCCTCTTATTTACTTGTTTATCCTCTATCAGCAGTCTTTATTCCAGATTGGTTCAGCATTTACTTGCTAATGTGGCGATACATAACCCAAACCAATATTACTCAAGGGGAACCTCGTACACATTAAGGCTCCTTGTCATGAGCCGGGGTGAGTACTCCTGTTCTCTTAACCATCTGTGAGTCTCTTGCCAGGAGAGGGAGTGGCCCAGCTGTTCCTGATCAGCAATCAGCGGGATGCTTTCCTATTTAAGGTGGATGGTGGACACAATTCGACGCCAGAAGATTGCCTCAGTTTTGGTAGTAACCAGCCTCTAGTGTTCCTAGGATTAATGTTATTTCATAGTGTTTTTGCTCTTATATTGGATTTACCATTCTTCAGGATTCCTGTCGACCTCATTGGATACTGACCTCTACTCCAGGATTCGGATATTCAGCACACGGACCTTATCACCACCCTCCATAACCCACCTCTCATCTCACCCAGTGCCCCATCCACCAGGACGCCCCGCTTCTCTCCACCTCTGCTCCCTCTCCTGCGCTTCCCCGGCTCTCTACCTCTCCCTCCTTCAGCCAACACATACACCCACCACAGTAAGTCTGCTGAACACCTCTGCCTGCCTACAATGGATTTTGAAACCAGGACCTATGCTCACCTGTGTTCTCCCTCCTCCAGACACTGAGCTGTTGCAGTTCCAACCACAGACTTATCTGTGCACCTTAAGTTCCTCATAAATAAATCATTTTTTCCATCAGTTTTTGGTCAGTGTTGTATTCTGCATGTCTTGGGTTAAGTACCTTCCTCCAAACATGACACTCCTCTTCAAAGAGCAAATCTGTTCAGCACATTCTGACAGACAGACCACCATTCTTCTGTCATGTTGCTGTACAGGACATTTTGAGTTTTTCTTTTTAAAGATAAACAGGATTACTGTAGCTGCCCCTGGCACCATGAAGAAAATGAACGGAGAGCCTCGACTTGGTGCATAAACTTTTATTCGTTTCTCTGGTCCAAATGCCTTGGACTTCACTCCGAGTTGCACCGTGAAAACTGTTTAGAGATATACAAAAGCCTAAATAAAAGGTGAACACAACTTTGATGTCATAACAGAAATGGATTACATTCTCACATTTACCTTGCTCCGCTGGCCAAGGGTGCTAAACAAAACAATAATTCCTCAAAGCTGCTTTATCTGTAGATTTGACTAGGTGATGGACAAGAACAAGAAAAACAAACAATGACTATAGTGTCAAACTAATAACCCAAACAAAAGCGTCAATACAGCAAAACTTACGTGGGGATGCAGTCGGCAATGTGCAGCTGAGGTGACTTTAGGCTTAAGACCTCATTTCAATACTTCAAACAGTGTTAACTTCTCCACAAACAGATTAACCCAAACAGTTTCCTCTGGAAGGGTGTGGCTTATATAAATTCTGTGAGCCAATTAAGGGTCATTGCCATCAGCTGCTCAGCTGGCAGCTACAATTACATTTATAGTGCAATACTTTTCACATTATCATTTTCCCACACTTCTGTATAACTGTATTTTGTTGTTTTTCAATAAAGAATGACAAATTATTTAAGTTTGGTCTTTGTTGCACACAAAGATCTGTAAAAAATATCTACAAAGCTAATGTTTACATAACAAGTATGATTGGGATTTGCAATATGGCACTGTTTATTTTAGTAAGATTTTTAAACCAAGTAAAGTTAGTAAAGAACGCATTTCTATTGTCTGCTAAGAAACTGTTGGGATTTAAAATGGGCCTGTTGTACAAATAACTTGTAAATGATTATTCCTCACTTTTGTCTTAACCAAAGAAATTCCAGTAATTGAGCAGAAACATTTATTTTTAACACTACATTTTATAAAACAGGGCGCAAAGTGTCGGCACATGTATGTATGTCGATGGTCCGCCCCAACCAAACCAGGAGACACAGACGTCAGGGAGGCCAAGGTTGTCTCCGACGGTCTATGCAGCTCTCTGGGCACCACGCCTCACGTAGCTGTCTCCAATGATCCAAATGGCTTTGGAGAAAAAATAACAGGTTTGGCCTAGCTGTTTAAAGTACAAAACCATACATGAAGTGGTCAAGACAGGTATTTGGAACTTACACTTGCTGCGTTGTGTAGCTGACGTTGGAGACACAGGCTGCCATGGTGACCTTTTAACAGATCTAAGAAAAAAATGTAATAAAAGAATGAAACTTAAAAACTCCCAGACCTCATGTCATATTTACTAATCAGCTTTGGCTGATTTATTGTTTGGATCACAGTGAGTTACACTAATTCTAATATATTTTTATTTCTATTATACATACATACTTTTTAACTGTTATTTTCACATGACTGTTATCAGGCTCTCTTGTTCTGGTTCTGATGATAACTCTGTGTCTTCCAGTAAGTTATCTTGTGCTTACTTCATCTGTATAATGTCTCTTTACTTTTGGTAAATTGTACTGAGTCCAGAATAAAGGCTAGTTGGCTGTACAAGATACAAACAAGTATTACATTTTGGAAATATATGAAATGTATTTAGGCTGCTAATTTAGCTCGAATACTAATAACTGCCATATTTTCCGGACTATAAATCACACTTTTTTACATATTCTGGCTGGTCCTGCTACTTATACTCCGGAGCGACTTATATAACAAAATATATAGGCTCCACCGCGCTGCTGCGGGCCGACTCCGAGCCAAGAATGACTTCCCCTGTCCCGCTGGGAGGCTTTCAAACACCGCCAGCATCTGTTGGAGCCTGTGGCGGGGTGCTGAGGGCCGGCTCCAGTCCAGGAATGAGCTCTCCTCGCCGGCCGGGAGGGTTTGAAACACCGCCATCCTCTCCTCTGCTGGCTGTTGTTCATTCTGTTATGGTTACCGGTGCTTGTGTTGCAATGTGAAACGCTTGGTCTCAGATTTTGTAGGAAAGATAATAAAATGTCCCCCCAAAATACGACTTAAATATATTTTCTCTTCTTCATTATACATTTAATGGCTGGTGCGACTCAGGAGCGATAGCCCGGAAGATACGGTACTGAAAACTTGCTCAAAGCAAAATGTTTTCATTACGGAAATAAATTATAAACTTACCGATTCAATACTTTTTTAATCCAGGTACTTGTCACGAACAGGCGCCGAAAACCTCCACCTAAACTCCGTGTGAGGTTCAGGTCGATGGGTGTTCCAGTTAGCTCCGGCTGGGTTGAAGCTAGGTGGCTACATCCGTTAGCTCGGCTCCCACCTTCGCATTAGCTTTGGGTTAGCCAGGGTTAGCTTCAGGTTAGCTCGTAGCTAGTTCGCACGGGTGTCGTCCATAGACTGTACATAAGCTTAGAGGTGAAGAGTGAAGCTGTTTACATACAACCACAGAAGTTCTTCTGTGAAAAGTAGTTTTACATTCGGGGGTTTACACAGCTGACACGTTATAATGAAGTAAAAAGTTTGTGTGAAGAATATAATTTTTATCTTCTCATGTGGATAAATGTAAAAATGTGTTTATTGCCTTTTTGTCACTGATTTTCTCTGTAGGACTGCAGGTGTCCAGGGTCAGGAGAGGCTTTGCCTGTTGGTCATCCTGGGAGAGAGGCCTTCTACTGTCATCATGTTAATGTTATTTAGCTGTTTGATATTTGAACACATTTATTAAAACAAATACTATGGAATGCACTTCCTCTTTCGGTGAGGCTGGCACCATCCCTCCTCCGGTTCAAATCGCTGCTGAAGGCTCACTTTTACTACCAGGCATTTTTAAATCCCTGACTTTTATTATTTTATTATGTGTCTTTTTATTGACTGTAATTATCTGCCTTGTTGTGCATTTTATTGTTGACTCTGTATTGCTTTATATTGTGTTTTTACTTTTTATTCTCTACAGCACTTTGGTCGGCTGCCATGCCGTTTTTAAATGTGCTTTATAAATAAAGATGGTATGGTATGGTATGGTACTAACTGATAACTCTTTCTGGTCATTGATTTTATCACCAGTTTTATTATTACAGATGTTTTTGAACATGAACAGAAAATGAAAAGATGATAAGGAGACAAGATTATTTACAATAGGTTACACTTATTTACAGATCAAAACCAGTATGGACCAGTTATGTACGGTTAAAGCGGGATTAACCTGAGTGACTCTTCCTGGATCATTTATTTAAACTGAGTGAGCAGGAAGTCTTTAACAGTGCAGCTGGATCTGCTGCAGGAGGATCCAGACGTGGATGGAGGGCTGGTGCAGACCCATGGCTGGACGTTTCTGGTCAGAGGAACATCATACAGGACGGTCTGCAGAGAGAGCTTTGGGACGCTTCCTCTCACTGTCCACTCCATCGTCCATCTACAGGGACTGTTGGGCTGGCTCAGACGACGGCTGCTACATCTCTGTGAATGACTTGCCTGTTGACACTTGTGGTGGTCTGCTGGCACCTACTCCAGGACAGAGCACCACTGACCTCCTCCACACACATCTTCCTCCCGCTCATCCTCCAGACCCACAACTTCACCAGCACAGAGGCAGATGTGCAGCACAGTGCATGCTGACCTGTAATAGATTAAATAAGAGTTTGTTTGTTTTTTTATAGAAAAATGTAAAACAAACATAACCTGCAGTACACTGGTTCTGTTCAGTTTAAAGAAAAGCAGCAGGGAATAATTAAATAAAAACTACAGAGAATTTACATTTTTAAGACAGATCTAATCATTATTAGGCTTATGTTGAATAAACAAATGCACATTGAAAACAGTTCAATGCTATTTTATTAAAAAGCCTGTTTTTTTAAAACGTTTTACCCCCATTTGATGCAAAATAAGTTCTAAGGTCCGAATTCAGAGCCTCTGACTTCCGGTTTTAGCGGTCTTCAAGGACCCGGCCTTGCTAGACCGGCAAGAATCCGTACTCATAAGCATCCTTCCTGTGGATTCGGACATGCGGACTGTCGTCTCTACAGCTCTGACAGAACCCTGCCCTCCTCTCCCAATGATTGGACAGTAATTCGAGAAAAGTGATTGGTAGCCAAGACTCGTGCTCTCATTGGTTCCACCCAAGTTCCTCCCACTGACGCTAGAATCGAGACAAAGAGATTCGTAAGACTGTAGGATTTGAGGTTTGAACCTGTAGAATGAAATGTGTGTTTAGAGAGTTTTCATTGCAAACTTGTACCTTGATTTTTTCAATATGGAAGTCTGCTAGTTACAAAACGAAAGTTTCATGTTTCTGAATGAATGTTTGATGTTACAAAATGATTAGTAAATGTACAAAATAAAAGTTTGATTTTACAAAATAAAAAATACATGTACAAAATACAATGTTCCTGTTACAAAACAAGAAATACAAGTACGAATTGAGAATTACAAGTTAGAAAACTAAAGTTACAAGTTACGAATCCAAAGTTACAAGTTACGAATCCAAAGTTACATGTGATGAAACATGTTCGAAGTTACAAAACTTGGTACATGTTACGCTGAATATTGTCCCAATCCTAGTTCCATACAAATCTAGCCAGAATATTCTACTTGCCACTTCAGACTGGGGGGGCCGATCTGTTGTGACTTGAGCTGACATACCTGGCACTGTAGTCAGCTTTTAGCCAATTTCCTGCATGTTTTAGATTAACACAGCTGATTTGTTTAATCTATGGAAGAGCCACTCCTGTAGACACTAAAGAATGTTGGGGAGACATTTCATCTGCTAAATTAAGGTGTTAAAAAGACGAATGCACATTCAAGAAATAATTTTACTTTCAGTCCTACAAACAGACATTGGGGGTGCTAAAAGCACAGATAAACACTAAGATCAGTCTAGGTAAGGTTTGTACCTGTAGAATGAAATGTGTGTTTAGAGAGTTTTGATTTCAAACATGTACATAGATTTTTTTTATTTTGGAAGTCTGCTAGGTAAAAACCGAAAGTTTCATGTTTCTGAATAAATGTTTGATGTTTCAAAATGAGTAGTAAATGTACAAAATAAAAGTTTGATTTCACAAAATAAAAAATACATGTACAAAATGAAAATTCCCTGTTACAAAACAAGAAATACAAGTAAAAATTTAGAATTACAAGTTAGGAAACTAAAGTTACAAGTTATGAATCCAAAGTTACAAGTTATGAATCCAAAGTTACATGTCATGAAACATGTTCCAAGTTACAAAACTTGGTAGAAGTTACATTGAATATTGTCCCAATCCTAGCTCCATAAAAGCACACAATCTCCCATTAATGTGTGTTTGACAGAATCATACAAGAGTCTCCACCAGCTTACATATTACTCTGCTCTGTGATCATATAATGGTTGTTATTATTACACTTTATTTCTTTGACAACATGTCAACAGTTGAACAGTTTACTTTTTTTTTACAAACCAGATAGATTAGAATACGATAAGCTAAGCTACTAATAAAACACACTTTTGACCATTTATTTATGAGTTTACCTGGTACAACAGAAGATACAATCTCTCATCAATGTGTGCTTGACAGCTTCACACAGGAGTCTGTTCAGGATGGGAAAAGGACGGTAAATAAATCTAAGTACCTCATTTAGCGAGCAGTTAGCTTCCATTGGCAACATGCTAACTGGAGCAAATATTACTAATAAAGCTTGTTTTTCTACCAAAATTATGACTGAACTTCTCACAGAACACACTGAGAGTATCTAAGTATCAGTAATGAATCACATAAGCTACTTAACTCAACATAAAACTGAGTTATTAACAACGTACGATGTCTCGGCTGACATGTACTTACCCCTTCCAGCTAATATAATTTGAACAAAAGCCAAAGCAGCTAGCCGTGCTACCTTGACTGGGCTGGGGAATTATCTCACACTTGTCTGGTGGCTTTTCAGTAAGTAAACGTAATTTATTAGACATCTAAAGTAAACCTCTACTAATTTTGTGGCAAACCTATACTTTGAGTTGTAAAATGAAGCTAACTGTTTTTAAACCTGTTTAGAATACAGACGGGTTATGAAGCGTTAGCTGTAAGCTAACTGAAGCGTTAGCTGTAAGCTAACGTAGCTAAAACCCAAACAGCAGCCTTTGAGTGGCAAATTTGTTCGTTTTAAATTTCTGGGGGTGTAACTAATTAGCAACACGCTAACTGTAGCAAATATAACTAATAAAGCTTGTTTTTCTAGCAAATTTATGACTGAACTCACAGAAGACACTGAGAGTATCTAAGTATCAGTAATGAATTACATAATTACCTGCTGCCGGGAAAACGTGAACACGCCTGAAGGACCCTTGTGTGTTATTGCGCCTAAAAACAAGAAGATGACTTTAAAATACAAACACTAAACATCAGTCTCAGTTACCTTCAAACTAATTTTTAACTATTACACATAAGTACTACAATTATCACGCATATCTTCCTTCTGATCTCTGTTGGGTCTCAGTGAACGATAGTCATACTTTTGTCAAAGCAAAACACGAGATTTTGGTGTTTTGCACTGAAGAAACTCTGTAAACTCTCCAGCTAATAAAAGCCAAAGCAGCTAGCCGTGCTACCTTGACTGGGGCATTCTGTCACACTTGTCTGGTGGCTTTTCAGTAAGTAAACATAATTTATTAGACATCTAAACCTCTACTAATTTTGTCGTAAACCTATACTTTGAGTTGTAAAATCATGAAGCTAACTAGTTTTAAAGCTGTCTAGAATACACACGTGTTATAAAGCGTTAGCTGTAAGCTAACGTAGCTAAAACACAAACAGCAGGTTTTGAGTGGCGAATGTGTTCATTTTAAATTTGTGGGGGGTGTAACTAATTAGCAACACGCTAACTGTAGCAAATATAACTAATAAAGCTTGTTTTTCAAGCAAAATTATGACTGAACTTCTCACAGAACACACTGAGAGTATCTAAGTATATCAGTAATGAATCACATAAGCTACTTAACTCAGCATTACCTGCTGGGGGAAAACGTGAACACGCCCTAACCCTAAGGAGGCTGTAAGCTAACGTAGCTAAAACCCAAATCAGTGAACACAATTATAAATCTTTCTCAGCCTAAGTCTTTAACCCTAACTGGCAACATTAGGCCCTAATAGCAATTACCAAAGCCTAATCAAATATTTTTCTAAAAAGTTTGGACCAAGTTTGCCTTATCTTGATAAAGTTTAACTTCAGTTCAGTTTAAAGAACAACGATGCTAAAAGTAAATCCTCCGGTGAAGAACCTGTGTCCTGCGAGCAGACCTCTAGTTAGTTTTTTGTGTGACATGTTCAGGGCACGACTCGTGTTGGGGGTGAAGTGCATCTATAAAACATTGCACAACTACGATGTAAGGTTTAAAAGAACCACTTATAACGCTTCTTTTTCTGGAGTTTATCTGTGTCTGCTTTTAGCTCCTTAATCACTTCGTTATTCTTCTCCTTGGCGTCTGAATGATTCTGGGTTTCATGATCGAGTTTCTTCTGAAGGTGGTCAACCTGCTTTTTAGCAGGAAGAACGTCAGTTTCATGTTTTTCTCTCACCTCCTTCTCTAGCTGAGCTATTCTCTGTTTATAAAAAGTATTCTGGGCATCAGCCATCGCTGCCATTCTGGGAGTCAGCGCTATACAAGTCTGATGGTTTGCTCCCGTATCTCTGGGCGGTTTCTTCTGCTGCTTTTCTGGTTCCTTCGGCTCTTCAAAGGACTTCTTACAAGCGTTTTTCTTGAGATTGTCTCTTAAAGCTCTCAGATTTTCAACTACTTGTTGAGTCAATGCCCTGGTTTCAGAATGAGCCTGGATTTCTTTAGCGAGATCCTCCTGAAGACGTTCAGCCTGCTGTTTAGCAGGAAGAACTTCTGTTTCATATTGTACCTGAATCTCTTTCTCTAGCTGAGCTATTCTCTGTTTATAAACAGTATTCTGGGCATCAGACATCGCTGCCATTCTGGGAGTCAGCACTAAATAAGTCTGATGGTTTGCTCTCGTATCTCTGAGCGGTTTCTTCTGCTGCTTTTCTGGTTGCTTCGACTCTTCAAAGGACTTCCTACAAGCGTTTTTCCCGAGAAAGTCTCTTTCAACTCTCAGATTTTCGATTACTTGTTGAGTCGATGCCCTGGTTTCAGAATGATTCTGGATTTCTTTATCAAGTTCCTCCTGAAGACGTTCAACCTGCTGTTTAGAAAAAACATCTGCTTCATGTTTGGCGCTAAGCTCTTCTTCTAACTCAGCTATTTTTTTAATATAAATATTTCGCTGGACAATAGAGAGTTCCCACTGATTGTTGAGAGTCACCAACTGACTTCTAGTCTCTTGGTGTGCCCGGATTTCATTTAGCAGCTCCTTTTCCAAACGTTCAGACTTCTGTTTGGTGCTAGAGACATCAGAGTTGTACATGTCACTGATTTCTTCACACGAAGCCTTAATAGTGTCCAGAGCATTGAGTAATTGCCTCTCTCTGCTTTCAAAAGACTTGCTCTGCTCCGGTGTCTCCTGTTTTTGGTGATCTGCTGTCAGTTCTGTGATTAGGTCTGTAGTTTCTGCCAGTGTATAACTATGAGCAAGGATTTCTTTGTCGAGCTCTTCCTGTAAATAATCAGCCTTCTTTCGAACACCGTCGTGTTTCTCTTGGAGCTCCTGATTTAAAAGCTTCATATCTTCTAGAGCTTTTTGTAGCTTTGACTCTTTCTCTCTGAAAGCCAACTGTTGTTCAGTCATCATGGCGTAGAGACTGTCTTTCTCAGCTTTCAGAGTTTTAATAAGAGCCAGGTCTTTAATGTTAGCTTTTCCAAGAGCCTCCCTTCTTTGGCTAGGTTCCTGCAAAGAACTGTCTAAATGCTGGCTTGTCGGGGGAACGCTGGTGTCATTTTCCATGTCTGTTGGACCAGAAACCTGGGAAAGCTCGACCTTTTCTTTGAGATCGTCTGTACCATGCTGGTCCTTTGGTTTCTGTTCTAAACAAACATTTTCCCCAATATCATTTTCCTGTGCTGATGGCTCAGCAGTTTTGCTGGTAAAAAGCCAGTTTCCAATTGCCTGTCCAAGATTTAGTAAGAAAGTTGTCATCTTGCCTGGATTTTCTATAATCTTCAGTTTTTCTAATCAAATTAAGAAGATAAACTGAAATAAAGATGAATAAAAGTCCTTTTCAGACGTGTATGCTAAGCTGCCTCTGCTGGGGTGTGTAGCTATACTGAAATGAAATAGCTGCTGAAGCTGACTCACTCTTGGTTATACCCGTGTCTTTATGACATCACTCCTTCTATCATCTCCATGGAGATGAGCTCTTCTATCATGTGCATGGAGATGAGCTCTTCTATCATCTCCATGGTAACGGTGGAAACAATGCTAACAACAATGTAAATGTGCATTTGTAATCAAAAAATGAATCAAACATTCATTTAATTATTTAGGCTCATTAGTAATATTAACAATAAATAAATAAACAACTAATTAAATATATAAATAAATATGTAAATAGATACAATAAATATATAAAATAAAAAATGTTAACAATAATTAATTACCTTATTATTTTCTCAAATAATAATAATAAATAATTAATATCAACTGCTATAATTATTAATATTAAGTAATTAATTTTTCTAATAATTAGTTATAACAATGATGAATGATTAATTAGTAGTTATTTTGGTAAATTCGTTGGTATTCAATTAATTGTGTAATAAATTATACAATTAATTATTTCATTTATTAATTATTTAGCATTCAGAGGTTAATTAATTAATTAATTAACAGATCAGGTCATTAGTAAATTCATCAGTAATTTCATTAGTTAATTACACAACATTACACATACAAATAATTCACTGTGCGTTCATCATGGGTGTGTTCATTATGCGTATGCACACACACACACACACACACACACGTTTCATCAAAATGTAATGTGGTCGTGAGAATCGTGATATTGCAGTGATCGACCCAACGTCTCCTCTATAGTCTGACTTTGAGGCGATCACCCTGACGTCACCCCAGGATCATGATTTTGGCCTTCATCTTGTGCCAGCAGGCAGGTCCCGTTAAAAAACTTCTGCAAGAGTTTTCTAGTTTTTTTGTTGACTTTGTTTATGGTTCCAGCTACTAGAGCTTAACCTGTCCTGCTGTCACAACTGGCCTCTCAGCCTTCCTGCTCTTTACCAGGTTGGAAGATCCTAGCTCTCTGACTGAGACTACGCTACTGAGATGATGCTGTAAGGGTAGGGTGCATCAGTTAGGGGCCTGCCCCATGACATAAACAAGGAGAAGGTGCATGGCCTGGAGAACTATCTCCCACATATTTGTGTTCTGTATGATCACTCCTGCCTCTAGCTGATGTCACACCATGCTTTTACATTGTAGCGTGGCTCCAGGCCTGTATTTCATCAAATGGGTCAAAGTTAACTTTCTTTCGAGCCAGTTTGGGTCAACCGGACACAGGAGGAGTCGATTATGAAGATCTCGTAACTTGTGGATTATTCTTATCGCAAGACGCCTCTGAGGACACCAGACTTTTATCTAATCCTTTTAATAAAGTGATCTTATTCTGGCTCATAAAACTATTTTCTAACTT